ATTTCAGTAGTCGACATAATGAATTAATTGAAGCTAGACCACAATGGAAAACTTGGAAGCACTGGACGTCCATTTCGTCCTATTGCAGGAGTCCTCAGCATTGCGCATCCACGATCCCACCTCGCGAGATTAGAACTCAGCACCTATCAGTCTCGTAGCTGAGGAGTCCCACGATAGAACGAAACAGCTGTTCAGTGCTTCCAGGTTTTCGATGGTGATCTAGCTTCAATTGACTCATGATTTTTACTATAAAATTAGTTATATTATAATTTAGCTTGAAAAACTTAATTATTTAATTTTAAAATTGTTTTTGTCAGAAAATTCTATCATTTTTTAATTCCAATTAAACATGTTTGAGGATTGAAAATAATAAAAAAACGCTTCATATCTATATAAAACTCGCGTTTGATATGAACTCATAGTTTTGAAACTTTCTGATCTTAATTTTGGAATTGAACAAAACAACATTCAGTCAATGTATTCAATTCTGATAATCAGTATTTACTCATTTTGCTATATATCACGTGATCCTTGGCGTATTTTGGTCAGCATTCATCTATTTCTTTACTTTAATCCACAGTTAAACGCTGAAACATATGAGTATAATCACTGAAACTTTAAGTTTAATTTGCTTGTTTACTTGTTTATTCTCTAGATAAACATAATTCTTATAAATTAAAATTTGTACATATAAACTGTGATTAGGTGTGGAATCTACTGAGATGTTACTGACAGTTCATTTGTTGCATATATTTATATGGTATAAAAATAAGAAATGGGATATTTAGTAGAAACAAATTAAGTATTTTTATATTAGTATGTTAATTTTTTTTTGCTTACTTAATTACGCCTGTTACTCCTAATGGAGCATAGGTCTCCGACCAGCATTCTCCAATCCACTTTGCTTACTGAATATTAATTGGTTTATTGAGTTACTTCTATCTTTATGTAATGTGTAGAGTGTTTGTTTATGTGTAGATAGTGTAGTTTTTCGTAATGTTGTAAGTAACTACCTATGACCATACAGTTTTACATATGATTAGATGAAAAGTTATGAGAATCAAATGAATAGTTTCATTTCTATCTGAAATTTGTCTGAACCAATGAGAATCTGAACAAAAGGGTTAATCGACCTCTGATTGTTTTGCTAGATGACTAAGTTGTATAAATATACTAATAAATTTAATCATCATTTTGCCAGTTTATCACTATTACTGTTCTTATAATTCCTGATTTCAGAACAGGTTTTCACTTTACTGTATGACTTGAATGGTGAGTTTGAAATTACATGCTAATGAAAGGTGATAGGCAATGGCAGTTCAATTACCTTCTGATTTTGTTTATTACACGTGTTTGGTTGTAAGAATTGATAATTATTTTTTCGATTCATATTCTATAGTAACATAATACGATATTCAACACCGGGAAGCAAAGAACTGATATGACGGGATTAAATAGTAAAATTAGATTCTCTTACTCATTGTGATTTTTGTTCTACATTACTTCCGTCTTCAACTCAATGGATAATTACTCAGTGTAGCATTCAGTTTTGTTTTTTCAGTGTGATATTTTATTTGTTATCACATAAATTTATTTGAGTATACTATTTATTCAAGATAGGACACTTGTATTAAATTAACGTCAACTATGCTCAGCATTATATGCAGCATGTGAATTGGCATGACTCTGGGTATTTTTCTTATATGTGCATTTATTCTAAACAGTTATCAAATAGGTGTACAAATCAATATGTAAATGAGTGTATTTTCGACTGGAGTCGTCGTCGTGTTTTGGGTTTGATAAATCTTCCCTTGTATCAGTCTTAGCGTTCTTACTTCGCATCGTGGCAATTGCAGTGGTTGCTCGTTTTTTTTTTTCAAGTATAAGTAATCACCGATTCTGACATAACAAACTGGTGACGCAGTCATAACAAACAATAAGCAAACTATTTTGGACATATTGAGTTGCGTGTCAATATGATTTCAAACAATTCGGTGCTATAGTATGACCAACACTTAACAAGCTAATTTGGGATAATGAACTGTTCAGGGAGACAGGTAAACAAAGCTAACGTACTAAACTAAATATTTTGCATACAAATTTCTATTGAAGAGAAATCACATACCTCATAAACTCTGCGTTGTTTTACATCTCAGTAAGCCGAATTTTACAACAGTGATGTTTCTTCACAATAATGAGATAATGAATGATCTTTTTATTTATTTCCACACCGTTAACGTACTGCAGATTTCTGTTTTGTTAAATGCTTATACGACTAATGAGTAGTATAAAACTTGCGACTCAATTATGAAGCAGGAACGAATAATCATGATTTTCTTGATTGTTTTTTGCTTATTTACAGTAAAATATAAATAAGTAGCTAATAAAATGAAAGGAATTGACAAACAATATTAGAGTATAAATATAAAGTTTGCTAACGGTAGAATTTACATCAAGTGAATTTAATTTATGGGATAAAGTAATTTGATACACTGAAATATTGTTTTTAGTATAATAATTTATAATTCTATTAAGGTTGCTTCGATTGAAAAAAATTTATTTGCCGTTGACGATATAGGAATGTACATTATATTATCTGGTTATACAGAGATATTCAATGTACAAAAACGTTTACTAGGACTATATATATATAATAAGTGGGTAAGCAAATAAGTCATTCTAACATTGGTAAATATTATGAGAACTAGTTAGTTTTTACCATATAATACCTAACAACAGTTTTTACTATGTTTAATATTAATCTCTTTTAAAGGTGCAAAATTATGGGATTCTATTTCACTAATGCAAGGTCGAAACCTGTTATAAAACCATTAGAATCAATACTTGACTCCGTTTGGGATCTTCAGTTTAAGTTACTACTTTGCACTGATTTTTGTAATGAAAAATCAATCAAGTACTTGTTCGTATTCAATAAATCATTGTCTAATGCCGGTTTTTAACCAAAGCTGCTGATTAATTAAACCAATCTTTATCGAAAAATCGGTTAAATAAAGTTTGTGTTTACGGTTTTGTAGGTTCACTATAGTTTCATCAATGTACTAGAAATAATAATCTTTAACAACAAATTAATTATTCAAAATAAATGATATTTTTAGTGTATGTTTAACAGTTTAGAATTATGTTTATTTCTAATGCATACAATACGGAATAAATAATTCCTATTGTTCTTGATTATGTTAATCTACTACATTGTTTAATTGTTATAAAAGAATTGTCAAACCAGTAAGAGATACAACCAGAACAAAGAAATAAACAATGACAGATTTAAGGTCAACAAAAACCAATCAACATCGAGGTGCACAGGACAATCTGTGAGCCACATGGGGGAGAAATCAAACACTTCACTTCTATCCGAAGTTTATGCTGATGATGTCGTTCACAAGGATGATGAAAGCTCCACGACCAAACCATCCAGTTCAGAGAACAAACCTACATCAAGATCACCCACCTGAGCTACAAATCTTCTCCACCATCTCAAGAATTGTCTTAGTTTACCCTTCAGTGTTTTGATTTGTTCTTTTTTGTGTGATGAATTATGCTTTGTTCAGCGTTTGAGGTATTATGTTATTCAATTGAAAAAGTTCGTTGATAAAATGATTTTTTCATGTTTCACGGTCGCCTGTGTAAACAGTTGTCATCATTTTTTATAAGGCTTGAATAAGTTTATTTTCATTTTCTTAAATATCACTTATTTTGTTTTACTATTTTTATTAGTTCATCATATTAATTCAGTAATTTTACATATTCATATCGTTATTTATCTGTATAATAATATTTTGTTATCTTTCACCACAATATTTTTTTCCTTTTGTTTTATCCTCTTTTTAAATACCTATTTAGCACGTTGCATTTTTGTAAACGATTTATATAATTTGTAATAATCTTATTTTGTTGAAACATTCAAAATCACAGCAACGAAACTTATCGACAAATCAGACATTTTAAATTGAAATTATTTTCGAATAAGTTTTTGAAAAATCCTCTTCCATATTATGAATATTTGGATGTGCTAAGTTGGTGAAATAAAAATGCACTGATAAGATTTTTAATGAAATAAAATATTATGGGTGTTTCTCAAATTATCAGTTTTCTTCTGATATCATGTCATCAAACAGTTCAGAGTATGTCATCAATTACATCACGGACCCACGAATAGAATTTGGAGATGATTCTAAAATTTTGTGGACCGATCGAATTCACGCATTTATATTATTGGTAATGGGTTAGTGATTTAAGAACGAAGTGCTTGCTGTGATACCTAAAGCCCCTGGGTTCATTAACAACTGAGATTTTAAGTGAGCACTGCTTAGGAATTTATGACAGTGGCGAAAAAACCTCCCAGCGCTTTTTGAATTTGAGTGTTATTTAATATCGCCTCGTGATTCAAGTTATGAAGTCGTCAGTAGAAACTTAAACCAGTATGATAAACGATCCTCTGGAATTATTATCATTCTAGAATTGTATAAACTTGCAAAACTACGTCATAACTTTAGAAGAGTTTTCTAGCACAGTTGGTGAACACTGACTTTACTGTTATTGTAATCAGATCAAATAAATATATACTCTGATATAAAAGGAGGATTAAAAAATTGTATAGAAGGAAACATCAAATAATAAAAATAATGTGTTAGACACTTGTATACCAAGAAATTTTGATTAGAGTTCTTAAGTAATATATCTATTGAATAACAGTTTATCATTCATGAACTATCTAGAAAACTTTTAACACAAAAATTATATTTTCCCTAATTCTTTCCATGTAGAGATTTAGTTAATTTCATATGATTTACCTATTTTGAGTAGTTAAATTAAAAATAGTAGCTTAAAGTTCTGAAAAAAAAATTATTTAATAAAGGTATATGTATATTGACTAATGAAAAATATTTAAGAAAATCAACCAATCAGAAAAGTGATCCAATAACTTTTTTTTGATTGGTCATTTAAAATATCTTTTAATTATCAAACATACATATATATATAATTAGATTAATAAATTAAGCTGAAACATATAAAAATAATAATAATCTTAAGTGAAATGAAAAACATCAACAACATTGAACAATGAATATTTTGTTTGTTTAATGAAAGTATTTGTTTGAATTAATCATTTAAAACAAAATAAAATGAATTGAAACTATATTTTTCATTATGAATCAAACTTATAGTAATTTAACAAATTTACGATCAGATACAAATTTAACATTATATAGAGAAAATAATATAGAAATATATAGTGCATTTTTTGTCCAGACAACAATATGTATTATCGGAGCAATATTAAATATAATAAATGTAATTGTATTAAGTCATAAACAATTTGAAGCTACACCATATTTATTTATGACAGCATTATCATTAACAGATACTGGAATATTACTTGTTCATTTACCATCTGGTTGGGCAAGGTAAATTATATATATATATATATATATATATTGTTTGATTTGTAATGAAAACAATGATTGTTATCGATTCAGGAATTCGAATACCAGTGAATATTTAAATTCCTAGAGTTATTGATGATTACTATTTTGTCTATTTGACTGAGGCATTAAATTGTATAAAGCATCAACTAGAATGTTTTATTATAGAATGATGCAGGTTTTAATAAGTTTACTATCTCGAAATCTCTACTAATTAAATTAGCAATATTCATAACTAGAAGACATATTTACTTATGGTGTAAAACTCATTGGATACTAGCTGTAATTCATCGTGCTATACTTTATGATATTTTTTAGAAATTCGTTATTTAATAGTGTCATAATGATCAAACGATTAATTTGATTTTTGTAAAATGAAATATGAACATGAAGTTTCTGAGGTATTTGTTATATCGATTGAGTGAGTGCGTATGTGCCCATTTTAATACATGAACGTATTAAGACCGCCCAATTAGAGAGCAGTGAATTTATTGATCGCCCAATGATACACAAAAGCGTTATGAACAGTCTTGAGTACTACTGGGTCCTGCTTTCTGCCTAGACCAGCCAGTTAAGTCCAGGGCACCAATAACAGCCTCTGCAATATGAATCATTATTCACAAACATACTGGGTTTATATACCAATCAAACAGACCACATCGTACCATAAAATAGAAAATAACGTTTGTACAAGATTAAGCCAAATGTGGCTGTGAATAGGGGGAACAGTAATTAATGGACTAGGGATAACTCAAGAATGGTAAATCATATAGTCGACAGTTCAAATTTAAGCTTATAATAAGAGGAACACGAATATGAATAGTTTAGTTACTTAACAATTATACAATAGGAAATATACATATCACATTGGCTCATAAATAGTTCTCAAAGTTATCATTCATAATTTCCCACAGGATACAACAGTATTAAAATTTAAAACTTAATTTTGTTAACGGTATATGCAGTAAGAAGTGAGTTACAATAATGTAATGACGCTTTAATCAATTTACTGTTCATTTTGGCTAAGTTGTGTCAATCATTAGCTGATTAGATGAACTTACTGTAGAATTGTGGAATACAAAGAATTAACGATTTATCCTTACTTTATATACATATAAAACTGAAGATACGACCCTCAGATTAAATTATTCTACGTTGAAAATCACTTCACAATATATGGTAAATTCTTATGACCTGAACCTATTAAAAAATATAATTACGTTAATTTAAATATTTAACAGGATGATCTTCAAGTAAAATAGGAAAAAAATTAAGTAGATATTGAGATAGATAAATATTTTTGTGTTAAAATACATATGATGTAAGTATACGTCGTTTAATTATTAGCTGGATTAAGAGTGTATTTCAATCTACTATATCAAAAACAGTTGTGTTAAATCAATCCCCAGTGAAAAACGGCCAGTACTGTGTTTTCAATTAAATGCCAATCATCAAAAATTAGGTCAAATTAACTGATTTTAATATTATCTATTTAGAATAGTACAAAAAAATTAGGCATTTTTCGACATACCAAACTGTTTATAAGTAATGGAAGATAAGTTTCTGAAAAGAATATTTCTTACACACGCCTGTTACGCTTCATAAAAACATAGGCGACACACAAGCATTCTCCATCCAACTCTGTCCTTTCCACTTGTTTTCACTGGTTATTCATTCTTTCAATATCTGCTTACAGTTCTCGACGAACTGCATTCTTTGGTCTTTCAACTTTCCATTTCTTTTCACGGTTTGAAGTTAGTGATTGACTCGTGATACAGTTTGATGATTTCCTCATTGTATGTCATATCTGCTTCCAACATCTTTTAGTAATTTCCTATTCAACTGGAACCTGACTCGTTCTCTCCCACAATAGTCTGTTGTTGATCGTATCCGGCAAACAGTCATTGTCGTTGCTAGATCTTCCATATATTCCTGTTTGTCGGCTCTAATATTCCAATTCACTTGCTTGTTAGCTTCTGTGTGTTCCGTCTATGCCTTGATTTTCTCTGTTCACGTTCGATTGTTCTTAATTGCTGTCTTCTTGATTATGCTTCTTGAGACTCATCACCTCATGACACGTTGAACTTAGTTCATGTTTCAAACCTCTTCAGTTGTTGTGGCGAATTATTATGCCACTCATTACCATTTTGTAGAATGCACAAAAATTTATAAACCTCTCACCGTTCTCGTTCATCTCCCCCAGTCAGTTCGTGTCGTCCCATGATATCGTCATATCCGATGTTTTCCATTCAGACTTTGTAATTTAAGTTTCACATCAGGATGGTCAGATTGATTCCTGGTCACTTCGCTATAGTCGATTGCAGTTTGGGGTATAACTGATGTTTATCGTCTTTGTTGCTATTATTGGTGGGTGCATAACAATGGATAAGATTGATTGTGATTCCCTCGTTCTTTGTTTTGAATGATGATTTGATGATTCTGGATCGATGAGACTGCAATCAGGTAGGTGATTTCTGTGCTTCTCTGTATTGATTCAGAGCATTACTTTGAGTGTGGGTAGCATTATTGTCTTCGTTGCCAACGTACAACAGCATCTCTCTATTGTACCTAATCTTTGTTGTCCAGCTTGGGTCCAGTGGGTTTCTCTGATTCCGAGAACCTTCGATTTGTATCTCCTCACTTCCGTTGGTATTTGACTGGTCCTCCCAGTCTCGCACATTGTACGGACGTTGCATATCCGAGTGTTACTTGTTGCTGTGTTTTTGGAATAGGTATGGGCCTCGTGAGTTCTGAGGAACATGAGCTTTGATCATCATGCTTTATAATTTTTTATTCAATTTAGAGTGTATAGTTTAAATGGTTTAGATTGTTTATTCTGTTTAGAGTATTTTTAGCAAGTAACAACATCGTAAAGAAAAAGATGACTTATTTTCTTTGTTTATATCACCTCTTGAAGTGAATGTGATTAAGTTGACGGTTTACTTGAAGTTGAAACAAAATTCAATCAAGAATCTTCCACCGACCATGAGAAAAAATCGATGTTAATAATCTTGGTTACGTTTTCCAAACCAAAGTATTTTCAAAAAAATATCACGTTCCTAATAAAATAACAATGTTCATGAATATGTTTAGAAACGATTGAAATTTTGACATAATTCTTCCTCAGTTCCCTTTACTTTTCAGTCTTTTCATGAATTGTGCATCGGATAGTCTCTGTAAAAAACAGTTTTAGAATTTGTGCATTTTATTCATAAGTATGGGCTTGTGGATATTGTTGAGTTTTGATTTAGATCACAAATGGATCAGTGTTAGATCACTACTGAAAACCTGGAAGCACTGGATCGGCAGTTCGTCCTAGTATGGGGCTCTTCAGCAGTCAGTCAGATATCTATCATAGTTATCATACTTAGCTACTGCTGCATGTATTTAACTTCTCAACAACAACTAGAGTCACGGAAAATTCCATCCCAATGGTTTAATTGTACCGTACTAGCTATGACTCCTGATAAACCATAGGACAGACTTTGTCAGGCATCCTCTATGCTGAAGTATCACGACTTGGGATATAGTTTCATCAGGTTTTCAGAAATTAACCGACAGTTATTAGTACTATTCCAATCATGTAGCATTTTATTAGAAAGCAGTGTATAATTTAATGCATTAACTGGTGTTGTGATTATCTATTAAAGCTGCTTTGAAATGATATTGTCTATATATGGGTGTAAATTATTCTTCATTCATTCTTCTACTTATTGCTCATGTTTAATCCTGTCATTTGATCTATATTGACTGAAGTTCATTATCAGTAAATATAATTCAGTTACCAGGTTAATCATTCTGTACTGCAAATGGTATTAAATGTTTCAGAGCAGTCAATGAGAATCTCTCTGAGTTTCATGCTTGTTGACATATATCAATGAAGTTCATCTTCAACTTCAAGGGTAATGGCTCATACTGTGGTAGTTTGTAACCGCCTAATAGTTCTGTTCGAACTTTGGGTAAATTTTCTAAATTCACTTGATTTTCGTGGTATGTTTTAACATAAACCATTGACAATCTACTACTTATTGTAAAGTAGATCAAAGGGAAACTATTGGTACATAATCCATTTACTAAATTAAGGTGGGCTAACTTAATCAGTGATTACTTATAGTGGAGTGATGAGCGAATTTCTTGGCTTTCAACGGTTGAGTAGAAGACCGAAAATGAACACACATTTCAGTTGATGGAGCTGTGTTTTATCATTATCACACCAAAAATGTAGATTGAAGATCGACTACACGAACCTGTATATGACGTCATAACCATCTACAGATTCATACATTAATGTCAATTACGATTTTTGCATTAAATTTTGCCATTTCATTAAAAATTAGCTAGCGAAATATATATTTTATGCTCATGATGCTACAATTGAAAGTTAACTACCTAAATAAAAACTGACTTACACAAAATGGTTGTTGTTCACCTTCTTGATCTGATTGCTTTACCGGTACAAGTGGTCGACGTAAAAGCAGCCGACGTAACGCCATATTTTCTTCTCTCAATCGTTGAATCCGTGCTTTTAGTTCAGTAATTATTCGAATCGGTTGTTGACTGACCAAATTATTGGTACCATTTTTATTGTGATTTAGTGAATACAATAATTGATGAATAGGCGAAAGATCTTTATGCTTTCTAAATATATCATGCAGAATGAATGTGAAGACAGAATATGTTAAGTTGAATTACATGTTTCCACTGTATAGATATTTTGCTCATCTTAATGTGTATTTCAGATGTCTACTCATATATTGTAGGGAAGTTTTTTTAATATTCCCCCATCAGATTTGCTAAACTTAATCACTAACATATGGCCTTACAGTTAAAATTGCTTCTGTAGCATAGTTGTCTATTAAGACTTTTGTGTATAAAGTTATAAGTTGAAGCATTATTCGTTCAAGTTGGAAATTTTGATTAATCAAGTAATGTCATAGATGGTCATTATAAGTCATTCAAAAATTTAGACGATCGGTTGATAT